TCGACTTTTATGCTTCTTATACCTTTATGTTTCGTGCATTACATCTAGAGTTAACAATAGGTCTGCTGACACTAAGGAATTAGCTTCGACTTTTAGGCTTCTTATACCTTTATGTTTCATGCATTAGATCTAGAGTTAACAACAAGTCCACCTATCTCAAGCATCGTGACACGGGTGTTTTTACTTATGTATGTTTGGGGTGGGGTGATGAATTTTGAAGCAATGACCCTTCTACCATAAGTAATATAATATGTACTTAAGTAGAATTTAGTTTTAAAGTTTTTTTATTTATTAACATGGATATCCAACTCGCTATGCGAGCTGACTAATCTCAGGACGACCACCTGCTTTGCAGATGACCTGGAGTCACCGCATTTGAACCTCCGTGGCCACAAAGGGGATTTTTATTCCTCCTTAGATTTGAAACTGAGACCTCCTGTTACTTTTGACCTTAGGAGTCAAGCCCAAACCAATCAGGCACCACTCTTGTGGTTAAGTTTTATTATTATCAACAACAAAAACAAAAAAAACGTTGATGATGGATAGATGGCACATAACATGCTTGTTAGTTTGTTCATTCCAAAATTGCTTATATATGCTTACTAAAAGACTGACGAGCCAGAAGACCGTTCGACGATCCTACTTCTGATGAGTAGCTCTGATGATTCTGATTCTGCTTTCATAAAGGGAGTCAGTCCTACTCATAAAGGTGAAGGACCAAGCACTTTGATCTACATAAGCCAAATCCCATAGCACTGGCGACAAAGGTGCTTTATGAAAGCCGGTCCACAGCAGTGAAAGTACGATTGAGATAGAACTCTTTCAATTAATGAGAGGAAGTGCTCTAGTAGTGAGTTTTTTGGATGTTAAATACCATTCGATGGGTTACTTTTTATCACGAATCATTATTATTTCGACACACGAAAAGGATTTAAAGACAGAGTTTTATAATATGTAATTATTACACTTTTTACTTAACTAAACGAAAATTTTACCTTCATGAAAAAGGAGAAGAAGAAGAACGTAGAATTTCATCATTATCAACACATAATAGTGATTTGAAGCACTTTTTTTTCTTCACAGTTTTGAAAACCAATGGCTTCATTACATGATAAGGCCGGTTTGGGTTTAACATGAGTCTTATGCTCCATCTATGGTTTGCTTTGAAGTTATTGACTAGTTCAACAGATTGTGGATTCCCAAACTGATCAATTATTATTCGAACTTCTCCAAATTTTTAAGTTAGAGGATGGAGTCTATAGCCGATCACATTGTTACATTCCCCATGGATGTTTCAAACTATATAGGGTTAAACATGTTATTGTGATTGAATTTTCCTCTAGCTCCTTGGCACACAATGCATTTGGTATTCTATATAGTCATCAAACTCAAGCAGTGATCGAGTTTTTGGGAATATAAGTCATACGAGCAATTATGTATACGTGATTTAAGGTTTGGTCTTGCCAACCTTTTTAATATGCAAAGGTTGCAAAATAGAACGTCAATATGTATTTGTGTATGTTTTTGAAATAAGGAGCATGTGTGCGTCTACTTTCAAGCACAATGTGGTTAAGATAAGTATCCAATGTTGGATTTATCTATTACGATAAAGTTGTTATATTAGTCATTAATCGATAGGGTCTAACTGACAATTAAGTTTTGACAAGTCGAGCTTCTAATAATAGCTCTTAGATACTCGTTTAGAAAAGTCATTCAATCTGCTCATTTTCTACCTTATTTCTTCCTAGCTTATTCATTGAGGCTCAATCTATTTTATAAGACATCTGTCTAGATTATGACATCACAAATAGACTAGTTTTGCGTCAATACCTTCTAGGGTTTTTCATCTGTGCTTCATACCAACAATTTTTGCAGATCTCATGGCAAGAAAAGTACTTGGTGATCTCTATTATGAAACCAATGGCTTCCTTCTAAATGGTGAAACTGCCTGTAAGGTGAAACCAATCGCTTCCTTCTAACCTAGTTTTGCGTCATTACCTCCGTTTGTTTTGTCAAGGTGAAACTGCCTGTAAGGTTCAATCTTATTTGAAAGTTATCCTTAATGCTATTTATGTGGTATGTCTACATTCACTAATATCTTGTTGCAATGCAGTCTTAGAAAACTAAAAAATGAATTTTTTTAGAATAGTTTTATCTTCTTTTGGCGTGAGGGGATTTGGTTCGCTAGAAATGCGTTTATTCATGGTTCACTTGTTATATTCTGTTCATTGATTATTAATAGAGTCAAGCATTAGTATATGGATTTGTTGCAGCTTGATTATCCCCTTCATTCTCCAGCTTTCATGGTTCTATTCGTTTCCAAGTAATGCATATCTCTATCATTTTACGTAATGTTCCTAAAGGAATATGGACCAAAGGGTCTACCCTCGTTTTGGAATTTGAAGTTGAACACACGTGGTTCTCTAAGGAATGGCAGTGCAACAGATGGAGACATTATTAAGGACTATTAAAGGTTTAATCATATTTATAACATCTATAGAGGTGTTGTCCCTTGAACAGTTATCTGTATGATAAGATCTTTCGAAACTTTCTTATTAATAGTTGCACATGATTCATGGCAATTTCTATCAGGGTCATTTTGAAATTCTTTCCAATGGTTCTCTTCCTCCTACGATCGCTACTGCGTAAAGAGGTCAATCCATTTTGTGTGTTTCTTCCTCCTCCTTGACTCTGAAACTAGGGTCATTGATTCTTCACCCACTTAGATTAGATGTGTTTCCTTAACTAACGTGTTGGCAAGGATCGTTTTCTTATACAAACAAAACAATAGATTATTTTTATTAACCTGGATATCCAATCCGCTATGCGAGCCGAATAATCTCAGGACAACCACCTGCTTTGCAGATAACCCAGAGTCACCGCATTTGAACCTCCGTGGCCACAAAGGGATTTTTATTCCTCCTTGGATTTGAACCTAGGACCTAGTGGTACTGTACATTTACATTTACAAGGAACATGCTTCTTAATTAGCATAATGATAATTACACCCCACCACTTACCCAAGCAAAATCAATGTATAACCCTTATATGTTTGTAATCTTACAAAATAACAATTGAATCCATCATATGTTTATAGTAGAATAAGAACATCTCACTTTTTTTTTTTCACAAAATAGATGGTCAAATACTTATAACTTGGTAGTCTTGGGCTTTTTTGAGCCCAATAACCTCAAAAGAAAATGGGCTCATAACAAAGTCCAGTGATTTAATCCCCTATAATTTCGAAAACCTAGAGCATGTGAATAATTTCTATGATTTATGTAAAGTATTGTAATCACAAACTTAAATCATATTGCTTAAAGATCGAGCATTTTCCAGATCACGAGTTTATTAAAATACGACAAAACGTATACGGATTTGTAGTAAAAGAGAAACGGAAAAGGGTTTTAGAAGCTAAATTTGTTGATAAAATTAATTTACTCTGAACAAAACGTAATGGTATTTAATATATTTCAAACAATAACAGATATCACTACAACTGACCGAGTTTTCTAAAATGTATAACTGTTATTTGAGAAATTAATAAAGTACTTGATAGGAAATAAGTTTATAAAACCGATAGCTTCGAATTCTGTTAAATGACGTTACAAGATGTTGCTATGAAGAATATGATCTGAGAGGTTTTATTAACGAAGTTGATCAGTCTAATAAGATGCAAACAAATAAGTCGTTACATTGGTTTTTCTATAAGACATTTTTCAAAATATTATCGTTCAAAATTCAGTTGGGGCGGCCTAAAAACCTAATTTTAGGTGTTGTTTTCATTTGGAAACATAGGTTTTAATTATGTCACGTTTTTAAAAGAACAAATATTGGATTTGATTGGATAATCCCATAAGTATTAACAAAGTTAAAACAGACAAACAAAACAGTCGGCGGTCTTCAAAACCTAATTGAGATTGAACTTTTGTACGAGTAGCTAAAACAATGTCGCACATCGGAAATTAATTAGCCACCAATCTCATCCGCCGATTTTGAAATCAGTTAAGACCTCAAAATCTTGAAGAATTTCTTCACTTATTGTGTTGATTAAAGAATTAATCAAACATTAGCTTCACTTCTATCATCTTCTTTTCTCGCCTTCGTACCATCTTGATCTTGATCTTTGCACGTTTCCAGATAAGGCTTTTCTATATCAGACGTTTCTATCTCTTTGGTTTTTGAACTCGACAAACTCGAATCTTTACTCTTACCCCATATTATTAGGTACAAACCGACAACGATGATAAACGCCCCCACAACCCTGAAAAAAATATTGGAGATTTAAAAATCGACAAAACTAAATATTTCCGTGTAGATAACAAAAATGGTAAATGTATACCTTCCTAAAACCAATCTCTCGGCTAACGCAAATGAGCTCACAATCGCAACAATCACCATCCCCAAAGGGTTGAAGGCCGTGACGAAAAAGGGTCCTTTTTCCTTCATCACTAGCCCTGAAACGTAGTAGCTAGCACCCGATCGAACAATTCCCTATAAAAAAATCATTTTGACTTTAAATAAAACTTAAAAATTAGAAACTAAATTAAAGACATATATACAAGTAGAAAGGTAATTACAAAGTGGGAAGATCACAAAAACTAGCAAGCTCTGTTTAAAAATTTAATAAAATATCTGTTTTTTAAACATTATCATGAAATAGCCAATAAATCTGCAAATAGATATGGCCCATAAAGCATATCTTTTTGTTTTTAGGCTGCTCACCATCCGACAGAAAATGCCTGAAAAGATAAATCCGCAAATTTTCTATGTCGATTTGCTAATTCACGGGTGATAATTTGAAAAAACACAACTATTTGATGCATCTTCTAACCTAAAAATGACTACTTTGATGATTTTCCCTTAAAAAGTTTCTTACACTGTAGAGAGTAGCCACGAGTTCTGTCTCCTTATGCATGGACCAGATGCCCGATTTAGCCTTCTCGATAACCAAAGTTACGACGGTCCCTTGCAAAGCACCCATCATGCATATAAGTGTCGTCAGCGATAACTGAGCCGGATATTCCTTCAGAGTCATAGCCTGAAAATTTGAAATACAAGATTGATTACATACGCACATATATATTTATATCATCTTATAAAGGATTCAGGTAAAACTTTAAATAAAAAAAAAAACTGATAAATGTTTAATTACCTGAAGAATGTAAAAGCTAGCCCAACAAAAACAACCAGCAGTGATCATGATGGCACCCTTGATGTGTTGATCTTGAGAGACGGTTGCAGAGGAGTCTAGAGAATTGTGCACCCCGGTGCCACCCTTGGTCCATGGCAATGGAACCGGTGGCCCATTAACAAGGGTCATAACCATGGCTCCACCCACCGTAATCAGGGTTCCTAAGATCTTCCCTTGACTATGCACTTTTCTCACATTCACCTTTTCTAGCCTACATACAGAATTTAAGTTTAGTACTCACTCACATGCTAATGCAAATTGTACATTAAGCAAGTGAAGTTGTACCTAAAGATCCATGCCATGACAAAAGTCAACGCCGGGAGAACGTTGCACATTGCGATGGCAAAGGTTGCCGTCGTATACTTCATCCCTGTGTAGTATAATATTTGGTCCATAACCGGCCTGCAGATATTAAAACAATTCCGTTCAAAATTCTAATCTCCTCCGTAAGCAAAGCACCAATCGATCCAAGTGATGTCATCATGACTTTGTGGAATAAATCGAATAAAAATAATGACTAATTTAAAACCATTTTGACTTTTTGTTTCGTCAATCGTATTGTTTGTTATTGAAGATGAAGCCTGCAACAGCAATGCAAGTACATACTCTATAAATGCCAGTAACAATATCTTCCAGAATACTGAAAATGTCATCTGGGTACGTATTTTCCTGTAATGTAAATAAATACCGACATTAGTTACTGCATTTAAAAAACTCTCATATATGTAAATAGTAATTATCTGTATCGGAATAACACTGTTTTTATAGAAAACAGAGTATATTATGTTTCTGTTTTACCCTTAATGCAATAAATTTTTACTAATTATTACCTATATAAACTATAACCACAGTAATAAATTATATTTTAACCGAACTAATTCAGTAATTTAATAGAAATTATCTTATTATATAAAACAAACATCTCATTAAACAATAAAAGTTATTTAATACATAGAAAATGATACATGTGTTCATGTAAACATTCGAGACGCAAAAATTAGATTTACTAAAATTTAAATTTAAAAATAAAAATAAAAATAAATTTAATTTATAATATTATATTAAATAATATAAGTAAAAACTCTTAAAACTGAAAACTTTTAAAGTAAAAATACGTAGATCTCAAAATCGAATGACCATTTACGAAAGCAAAATCATACAAATAGATAATGTGACACTAAATTCCGTTCGTTAATGTTATTCCATCGGCAAAATTGGTGATCCATTGAAGATGACTTGATATATTACGATTAATGTTTAGGGGGTGTTTGAGATTGCTTATAAAAACAACTTATTGAATTATTCCGGTGTGACACTGGTAATAAGCACTTTTGAGTGTTTGGATAAACAACTTATACCGGTGACAAACCGGTAATAAGGAGTTTTTGAAGAAGTTAAATCATTCTAACTTATAATAAGTTGATAAACATTTTTATAGAAAAGCATAAGTTGTTTCAAATAAGCAAATCCCAAACACCCCCCTTAGTGTAACAATTGGTGACCCCATATATTACCACTTAATCAGTTACAACCAATTTATCAACAAATTATTTGTAGTTACAATATAATATTTGTATAGCAAACAGGTGGACCGTGGATGGTATTTAAAAACACATCGTCCGTACTCATTAAATTTTATATATAAATTGTTGACACAATCTCGCAATAATATGAAAGAGGAAATCACAAAGATACCTTTCGAAATATAGAGCAAAAGGGCCAAAAGCAACAGCTGCAACAACATTCCGATAAACAGAAAATGTGTATGGATTTAAGCCCTCATTTAAAGCAGACTTCACTAAAATCCCATTAATAGCATAACCCAGTTGTAAAAAAAGAACACCCATATACGGCTTTCCTTGCTTGCAGAAACTCGATAACCATCCGTTCGACATTTCCGTCGTCTACCTTAGATCGATTTCTTTTTCGTTTTTTTTTTCCTTTTCTCTCCCTCCAAGATCCCAAAATGAGAGTGTTTGGAGAGAACAAGATTGGGAATGGTTGAAGGGTGTTATGGGGTTTATATATGCAATGAAAATATGTAAGGACTAAATTGACATTTTAATATGTCCTCCATTAATGGTGTTAGAAGCTAAGATGTCTTGTAAAGTTTAGGTACGTGAATGTTTTGCATGTGTAATCCACTACCTTCATCTTTTTGTTTACTTTGATGTTGCCAAGTAAAACTCTTTTTTCCATTTTTTATTTAAAACAAAATATAATCACATAAATATATAATTACATAAAAAAGAGGAATAAAAATCCCTTTGTGGCTACAGAGGTTTAAATGCACTGACTTCGGGCTATTTGCAAAGTAGGTGGTCGTACTGGGATTAATCGGCTCGCATAGCGGGTTGGATATTCAGGTTAATCAAAAAAAATTATGGTGGTTTTTTGTATATTGTTTATAAAGTAAAACCGTTTCTATTTTAAACCAGATGTATAGATTTTGAAACCGCAACTTTATATCGTAATTTAAGCAAATTTGGATATCTTTTTATTGTTATCTATAAATAATTTTTTCCAGTTTTTACAATCTTTAACGTAAAAGTTTCATTAAAATAATTGGTATATGTTTGTGTATGATTCAAAAGCTCTTTTTTTATGTCAAATAAGAAATAAGATCATGTATTTGCTTTTTTCAAGAACTGTATGATCGTGTTTTTCGTCATCAACTATAATATCAAACATGAATTGTTATGTTACGAGTTAAAAACATATAAGCTAAGTTTGAATTTTATTTTTTTTTTTCTTCGGTTTTTTGTAAATAATTATATTAGTTTAAATTGAAATATATTTAACCACAAGGGTGGTACTTGATTGGTTTGAGTTTGGCTCTAAATATCAAAAGTACCAGAAGGTCTCAGGTTCAAATCCAAGAAGGAATAAGAACTCCTCTTGTGACCATGGAGGTTCAAATACGGTGTCTCCAGGTTATCTGCGAAGCAAGTGGTCGTCCTGGGATTAGTCTACTCGCATAACGGATTGAATATTCAGGTTAATAAAAAAACAATATTTAATTAGTAGATTTATAAATATGTTAAATAACAACAATAAAAAAAATATTGAATTATAAAAACTTACATGAAATTAATTTGATCAAAAAATGTGTAACAAATTAAATCATCAAAATGCTTCTTTAAGTTAGACACCAACAAGACACGTTTTTGTTGGCATGTCCTCCAATACTATTCACATGTTTATGGTGTTAGATCACATAATTTGTACGTTATTTTTTCATCGTACTGTCATTATTTTAAACAGATATATGATTGTGATGATATACTCTTCTTTTATTATATATGCTTTTCTTTTTTGTTGCAATGGCACACGGGTCTCGTGAGAAGAAAAAAGAAAGATACGGGGGGCTTTTTTACAACTTTAGGTATGTATGTATGTATGATATATATATGAATATAGAATTATGTTCATACGAAAAATGATATATTTTAGAAAATAAGAGAATGATCAAATTACGCATAAAATTGTATGTGATTTTATATTAACAAACAAAAAAATATACATTATGGCCACGTGGCAAGGTCGTGCTAATCACATGTGATTTTGTATGTGATGTTAATGTAAAATCACATGTGATTCGGCTATTGTCTTATTTTCTTAAATAATCATTCTCATATGAATTCGACTCTCTCTTTCTTTATATATATATATATATATATATATATATATGTGTGTGTGTAAGCACACGTGTATGTGATTCACACGTCTATTGTGTATGTACAAGTGTATGATGCAGTTAGACATCATATCCATCTTGGTTGTAATTAGTTGTCATCTTTTTAAGGTTATCTATATATATAGAGAGAGATAGAAGATTTATTTTGCAAACCACGTTATTTATACAAATTGTATAAAGTTTATTCAACTAATCATAATTTTTTATTTTGTTCATGTAATTATGAGAGATTGATTAATCATTTTTATTGTAGAGAGTGTTAATCATGGATATTATCATCTTCATTTTATTAATTTTAGATAAATACATGAAGAAGTTTCATTAAAATTTTATAAGTATTATATGAAACAATTTCATAACCATATAACACAACATCATCATCAAAAAAATATATTATATGAAACAATTTCATAAAATTAAACAATAAAATCGATGGATGATAGTGGTTTGTACAAATATATATATATATATATATATATAGAGAGAGAGAGAGAGAGAGAGAGAGAGAGAGAGAGAGGAGTAATCAAATGCAAACCACTCAATCTGTACAAAACGTGCAAACCATCTTTATCCGTCGATTTAATTGTTTAATCTTATGAAAAAATTTCATTAAATAGTTTAATCTTGTGAAATTGTTTCATATAATACTTTTTTTGATGAAATTGTTTCATATATGGTTATGAAATTGTTTCATATAATACTTAATGAAATTTTAATGAAACAGTTTCTTATATTTTTCTAAAATTAAAATAATGAAAATTATAATATCCATGATTAACACCCTACACAATAAAAATAATTAATCAACCTCTCATAATTACAAAAAATGAACAAAATAAAAAAATTATGATTGATTGAATGAGATTTGTACGGTTTATATAAATAACGTGGTTTGCAAAGTAAACATCGTCTCTCTTTATATATGTATGAGAGAGAGAGAGAGAGAGATTTTCACATGTCTATTATGTACGTACAAGCGTATGATGTAGGTAAACATCGTATCCATCTTGGTTGTTTTATGTTCATTCTTTATGTCTTTTATATATTTTCCAATTTAATTTTTGGTATGTCATTTTAAACTATGTTACATTATCATTTATTTATCGGCTAACAATTAATTTATCAATCAATAATTAACTTATAAACAATTATGCCAAACATAGGCTAAATGATAGTATTATGTAATTATACACATAACTAAAAAAAGGCAAAATTGAATTGTTTTTAATTTAAAAGTTACTAAATATAATATGTTGGATATATACCAAAGAAAATGAACATGTGTGTAGTGCATATGTTAATTTAGTTTATCAAGTCCTATACGTAACTTTTTTTCTTACAAGCAATCACCCCTCACTTTTGGTGATGATCGTGAGTCATCAAATATGGAATAAATACTGACTAATAAATAAAATATTAGAAGGGTATTTGCACAATGTAATAAGATACATCTTGATTTTAATGTTCTATTTTATTCTTTATCTATGTCGATGTTATAATACGATTTTATGTATTTAAAAAAAGCAATAATTTTGATTTTATTTTTGAATAAAATATAAATTAAAGATATTATAAAAATTTAAAATATATATCAATGTTAATATCAAATCAACTATTTGAAAGTTCTCATTTTGTATGTAATTTCTTTAATTTAAGTTTAATAATGAAATAATTTGTTTTGGTTTTAATAATATAAAATTTTATAAAGATAATAATTAAGTATTCTGTTAGAACTCAATGATTATCGTAATTATATTTTAGATTTTTTATTATTAAAATAAGATATTTATCATGTATTTGATTATATTTATCTGCAGTTAGTTACACGAATTTAGATATGGAGCTTTAATAAGTTGTACTTACGCAAAATCTACTTGTAATCTTGAGTTTTAAGTAATATGCATTAATAAGCAGTACTTTATGCATAAAAAATAGTTTTTAAGAATGTTTTATAATATAGCACAGATAAATACAAATGGTTGTTTTAGGAATTACAAAACTAGTCCCTGAACTATTTCTCAATAGACATGTTTAGTTCTTTTATGAATATATTTGCAATATTAGTCTAATTTTCGATATATATATTGTAACACATCAAGTTTCTCAAGTTAATTTGTTAATAAAAGGGTTAAGTAGGTTAACGAAGCACTTGTTCAACATTCGTCTTCATCTTCATCATCTTCAACATTCGTTTCATCCTCTTTAGTAAAAATTTAAATTTTTTAACACAGATACAAGCATACACACAATATTGTTAAAGAGCTTAAACGGTTATTGTTGAAAATTAAGAAGTACTCTATCTTGTACTTTGTGTGCAACACTCAAAGCTATTAACCTCCCACTCGCCTCATTACCCTGAGAATTGATATTCAAACCACCTTCCAACTCCTGACAATTTCTTCCCTGAGAATTATCTACCTTAATCCATTGTCCTCTGCTCCACAGATGGATAATTGAAGGAGAATCAGAGAAATAATCCAACATTTTTAGGTATTTTTTTCAAAAACCCTATTTTCCTGTTTGAGAGAGTTTCGGTAATGGTACTTCCTTTTTGCTTTGTGGATTTTATTCGTCTTTTTGTACTGAAAATTGTACAATGTCCATTACAATAGTACCATGTTTAGAAGTCCCACCTTGGTAATGAATGGAATAAACCATTTGTTGGTTCTTCTCAACGGAAGGGCATTGTCCTTGGAAAAATTTAATGCACTTACAAAATCATAATGAAGGTGATATATGTTTATAAACGTATTATAGTTGTTATATGTCCAGGAATGAATCTCTATAGACGGAGTTGTGATAAGCGAGTTTATACCTCCTAAATCTAACCGCAAGTTTACGATATATGGAATTAAATAATATGTACGGTAAGTACGAGTATCAAACCAAGGGGACTAGGCACTGAGTATCACAATGACTATATATAATTACTATAACGGGATGGTCTAAGTTGAATGATTGGAACTAAAAACTGATTATCGAATTATCCAGAAGAAAACCTTGAACAAATTAGAGAACAAAAAGTGGAAACTTTATCAGGATAAAACATATGGGAGTTGGAATCATAATGGTTTCCACACAGAATATTTCAATTGAAATAGTTATCAGGTAATTCCAATTAAATGAATACACAATCCTTACTTTCACTATTACTATTACTCTCTCTCTCTCTCGAGTTATAACAAATTTATCCTTGTAAATCGTATATTTTATCTCTCGATCTCAACACATGATATTTGGAGTTCATTCAGAAA